CGCACAGGTGCAAGACATACAAGGGATATATTAATTTCTGATTTGATGCAGGATGGATAACATCATTGACTCTGATGACATCTTCGTGCAATTTGCTGCTAATATCTGGAACCAAGTTGAAAGTTGCATGGATCCTAAGATTCAAATCCATGAAGAAGTAGGTATCTTTAAGCTTATTTTGTACCTTGGTGTGGGCTTGAAATTGTGTGGTACTAACGTGTTCAGCTTAGGAAGTTCTTGATGAGGCAATGATGGTCATGAAGCTTGTTGTTGCCGCTTGTTCAGTGGACAGCCAGAACATAATAATCCAGAAAGCTTATGCCGTACTTTCATCAAGCACATTTGATTTAAAGAAATCAACAACCAATATGCCAATTTGCCTGGATGGTCCAAAGATTAATAATATGTCCAGTAGAGATGACTGGATCCTTTCATTATTTGCAGCTGTAGTAATGGCAGTTAGTCCTCAAGCACATATTCCGAATGTGAAATCAATGTTGCATATGTTTCTGATACTCCTTCTCAAGGGCCATATTCCAGCAGCTCAGGCATTGGGTTCTATGCTTAATAAAATGATTTTACATACCAACACTGGAGACATTTCAAGTGATTGTTCCTTGGAAGAAGCTGTGAATATAATTTTCAACACAACTTTGTGGATTTTCCATGATAACAGCTCTCCAAGCACATCCAGGGGAACTGATGCAAATGAGATGGATTTAACCACATTATGCTACAGTTTTATAAAGGATAGATGCCTTCCAGTCCATGTTATTATTGGACTGGCATGGATTGGAAAAGGTTTGCTTATGCGAGGCCATGAAAAAATTAAAGACATGACTATGATCTTTTTGGAGTGTTTACTGTCAGGTGGTGAAAAGAGTGCCCTACTTCCAAGTTCTGAGCAAGATGTGTGCTATTCTGTGATGAAAACTGCAGCAGATGCGTTTCAAATTTTTATGTGTGATTCCGAAATTTGTTTGAATCAAAAGTTCCATGCGGTGATACGGCCACTGTACAAGCAGCGCTTTTTCTCAACTATGTTGCCCATAATGAAGTCCTTAGTTGTTAAGGCGAACTCATCACTCTCTAGGTATAAGGGACTCTTTCTTCTTTAGTTTTTGGTTGATACTGGTTCAATATTAATTTCTTCTGGATAAGCCTGTACAATTGTTATGCTGCTCGTATTGTTGACACCAAATATGTAGGAAAATTCGTTGTTGAAGGTGAATTTGACTGAGTCCTGATGGTTATTGTCAATTAACTGATTAGATGACTAAATTAATAGAAAATGATTTAACTATATTTTTTATGCGCTAATGCGGGAAAAAAAAAAAAACCATACACACATGCACACAATTTGGCTGCAAGTACCGCCGTTAATATTTCAATGTAGCTAAAATAGTAAGAGTAGTTTAAAGTTATCCTCTTCAGTTTTTCTAGAGAGTTTTATCCCTTTAATATTGTCAGTCTTTTTGTCATATTTCTTATTAGGACTTCTATTGTAAGGTCTGCTGTCATGTTAAAAAGAAGAGAAATAAAAACTAATATTCTTCGTTTGCAAAGCAAACATACATCCTTCATCTACAAGATTAACATTTCAAATTGTACTAGATCATTTCATGATTCTTGTAATTTACATGTCAAATGGGATAGTCTCAGACCTGTCAATAAGCAACTTTCAGGTTTCTCAATCCTCGTATGATAGCTAGCGAGATGAAATGCATAGGGATGGTGTATTTATTCTGAAATAATTGAATCAACCAACTAACTCATCCAAAGGGACTATTACTTGCCAAGTCAGGTTATAATCAGAAAACTTACTGCTTGACAATTTCAACTGACTCACCAGACTGCTTTATGATTTTCAGACCTATGCTATATCGGGCATTTGCACATATTGTGACGGACACTCCATTGGTTGTCATCTTGAACAATGCCAGAGGGGTTGGTCTTGACATATTTTAGTAGTAACAGGTTCAGAATTAGTTCCAGCAAATATTAGTGATTGTCTTGTAATACTATTTTGTATACTTGCAGCTAATTCAAATGATGCTAGATAGCTTGTCCAATTTAAGCAATGATATTCTGCATAAAGATGTTTTGTATAGTCTACTGCTGATCCTATCTGCAATATTGACCGACAAAATGGGTAAGACTTTGTCTACATGACTTCTATTGAACTTCAGAAGGTTCTTTTCTTTTCCTCTTTGTAAAGGAAGTGCATTACTTATGTTCAGTTCTCCAGGAATAATTTCACAGGTTCCACAAGGAGAGATGCATAATCAATTAAATTATTATAACTCAAATTAGTCAAACCCGGTTATATTGAATGGCATGACATAATAGTGGTCTTTAAAATGAAACCTCCTAACTATTGTAGAACAACCAGCTGGGGCATTAAGACATTAAGCAAAACAACCAGAAGGGCAGCTATGGACACATTATTTCATTGTTTGGTTGGCCTAGTTTGTGGATTTGAAAAATCCCAACTTGGATACATTTTTCTAAATTTCTCTAGTTTGTCCTCTACTTTGACCATAACGGACGATGTGATCCTCATGGAACAGCCTACCTGGTTTGTCCTTAAACTCTAACCCCTTCCTAACCTGGTAGTATCAATTTTCTTTTTCTGCTGTCATAAGCTATACTGTTTGACCATTTCCAGTTAGTTAACAGCCGACCGTTCTACCACCGAGTTAATGAGGAACAATGGAAAATTAGATCTCATAGAGTTCAATTCCCGTTCTCAAGTCATGACCAATATGAGAAGTTTCCTTCGTAATCTCTGGAACTTTTTTTGTAGTGGTTTTGTTCCATGCCTTATTTCATAGAGAACCTCAAAGTGGCTTTATTTCATTATAATTATATTATACCCATACTTCCCGTTCTCAAGTCATGACCAATATGAGAAGTTTCCTTCGTAATCTCTGGAACTTTTTTTGTAGTGGTTTTGTTCCATGCCTTATTTCATAGAGAACCTCAAAGTGGCTTTATTTCATTATAATTATATTATACTCATACTTCAGTTTTATTTATTTAATATTTCTTTGGTCTCGTGAACATAAGAGATGTCGTTTTTAGTTTATCTTTTTCTATTTCTATATATAAAAAGTTAAAAAAATATTATATAATAATCAAGAAATTGAAATAAAAGAGAAAAAACGGAGGGTTGTGATGATTTTTAAATCTTTTATATTAGGTAATCTAGTATACTTATGCATGAAGATAATCAATTCCGTCGTTGTGGTTGGACTCTATTATGGATTTCTGACCACATTCTCCGTATGACCCTCTTATCTCTTTCTTAAACTTCATGCACTTTTGAGGAGGACCAAGGAAATGCAGTATATACTTTCATGTACAAAATATGAATGATGGAGAGAACAAAGAAAGATGAAATCTCGGAAAAAAAAATGGAAAGATTTACTTTATGAGATAGGAATGAGAATGCAATACAAATGGAATAAAGACTTGAATGGATGTCTCATTCTAATTCCAAATCAATTTACTGTTCAATTAAAGTTAGGTGTCTTCTAGTTCTTCCATTAGCAAGGAATATAAGTCCATCATTTGGAATTGAAGGTATAAATAGATTTTATTCAATTATATATCAAATATGTAAATTATTACTAGCTTTGATATATCAAATGCTTAAGATCTAGCAATTGAACAACAATAGAAGAAGTCTAAATCATATGCAATGTAGATACATGAGAAAGATCAACTTGTTTGGAGATTTTGCTCCTTTTAACGCATTGAGATGATGAACTTCCGGAATACTTCATACTGTTTTAAAATAAGATTCCCCTTTGTTTCTTGCTGCTGCTTCGAAAGGAAGAGCTATTTTTAGAAGGTAAAAACTCACCTTTTGCCTCTCTTTATTATGTGGGCTGTTCCCGTCTTTTGCTTGGTCCTGTCTCCGTTGAACTTACTCTATGTTCCAGTAAAAAATGTGAAAACAATCCCGTTGCCATCTGTTTTTGGTGGACCCTTCTCTTCTTTTGTCTTGGTCGTTTCCCAATTGACTTTTTTCTAATTTATATGCCGCTTATCACATCACACGGAAAGGAGGATGCACAGCCAGTTATTGAAAATAAATTAGCAGGAAAACATATATGCCAGCGACACAGGGAAGCAACAAAGTGACTGAGTTAAAATCTATAGTTAAGTAGGAAGTTGGTTTCTTTAAGTAACTAATAAGATTTATAATTCTTTATTCCTAGAGTTATAATTAGATTTAGATTAGGAATTGTAATCAAATTAGGACTATGATTCTTAGAATTATAAGAAGATCTAATTTTATTAGCTTCCTATAAATACACCTATTATTATGAATAAAATTACCAAGCTATTACTCTTTAAAAATTTGAGGTTTTCTTAGACAAGTTTCACCATAAGTTGGCAAGACTAGAAATTGGGGAAGTAAGCAACATACTTGCTTCAGAATTTCACACTAGCAAGTCTTGTGACCAGATCCAAAGCCTACAATTCTGACAAATTGGTACCATAGCCAATGGTCATGGAGGATTTCAAAAGATCTCAACAATAATTTGAGTAAAGAGTTAGGAAAGAAAATACTATATATAGAAACATAAATTACCCTATTAATGGTAGAAAATCAACTAATAATTACATAGGAATATTCTGTAATATACTTTGTAATATTTCAACACTCTCCCTCCAGTTGAAACACAAATATTAATCATGCCCAGATTGTTATGAAAATATTCAATTCGGATTCTATTCAAAGTATTTGTGAATATATCACTGAACTGTTCTCCTGTTTTCATATAACCGGTAAAATCAAGTTTTCTAAATTTTCTCACGAATGAAGTGACAATCAATCTCGATATATTTGGTTTTGTTCATAGTACACCGGATTTGAGGCAATATGAAGAGCAGTTTGATTGTCACACCACAGTTTTGCAGGTAATATGAGATTCAAACCCACTTCTACTAAAAAGTGTTGTATCGATAAGACTTCACATGTGGACTGGATCATAATACTGTATTCGGACTCTGCACTGGACCGGGACACAAGAGTCTGCTTCTTACTTCTCCATAATACCAGGTTCCCACCAACGAAAACACAATAACCTGTAGTGAATTTTTTATCAATTTTAGATTTAGCCCAATCAACATCTATAAAGTATTCAATATGAGTGTGTCCATGATTGCTAAATAATATAAAGTCCTAAAGTATTTTTTAGGTAACATAAAATCTGTTTCAAAGCCTCCCAATATTTTTGACTATAGATGCAAACATAAATTGACTAACAACATTGATAGAATATGCAATATCTGAATGAATTACTGTAAGATAATTTATTCTTCCAACTAATCATCTATACCTTTTTGGTTTATCAAGTGGGTCACCATCATCTTTAGTAAGGTGTACATTTGGTACCATTAGTGTGTTACATGATTTAGCTCCTAACTTTACAATTTCTGCAAGTAGATCAAGTACATACTTGCTCTGAGACAAGAAAATTCATTTCTTACTTCTTGTTACTTCTACTCCCAAAAAGTATTTTAACTGATCCAATTCTTTGGTGTGAAACTTGTTATGTAAGAATGATTTGAGAGAGGATATTTCTACACAGTCATCTCCTGTAATGACAATATCATTAATATAGATAATAAGAAGTATAAAACCAACTGCTAATTGTTTATAAAAGACCGGATGATCACACTTGTTCTTCTTCGACCCAAATTCCAAAGGTATTTCACTAAATTTATCAAATCACGCACGGGGACTTTGCTTCAAACCATATAAAGATTTCTTTAAATGACAAAATTTTCTATACTCCCTCTGAGCAACAAATCTAGATGGTTGTTGCATATACACTTCTTCTAAGAGATCGCTATGAAGGAATACATTCTTGATATCCAACTAGTAAGAGCCAATTTCGAGATGTCGAAATAGAGATGAATAAATGGACAGATGTAAGTTTGGCCACTGGAAAGAAGGTATTAGAATAATACACCCCATAAGTATAAGCATAGCTGTTTGCTACAAGTCTGGTTTTAAGTCTTACTACTGAGCCATCTGGGTTTACTTTGACCGAAAATACCCATTTACACCTCACGGCCCCTTTTCCTTTGGATAAGTCTGCCAGATCCCAAGTTATGATTTTTATCAAGAGTATTTATCTCCTTAAGCATTGTATTATGTCAACCATAATAATTCAAAGGTTCCTTAACTGTTTTGAGTATGAAAATTGAATCTATAGAAGTAATAAAGGAGATAGATGGTCATATGAAACAAATTAGCAATGAGATAAGTTGCCTTAGGAATGGTGCACTGACGCTTACCTTTATGAAAACCAATGGGAAGATCAAGGTCTTCTGAGGTAAAATCAGATGACGACGAACTTGGTGCAGTACATGTATCATTAGTCTATTGTTTTGCAACTTGACATGACTGGCTATCTAATGATAGTACATTATGAAACTGAGGATAGGTTCTTCAGTACAGGTAAAGAAAGATGTTCTAATTTAAAATGTGTCTCAAATGGAGATATAACAGTAGAGCAGACAATCAATCGAGGTACCCAAGTATCAAGAATGTAGAGATCATCTGATATATTTTATTTACCAATAATTTGTTTCGTCATAATATCTTGAAAATACAGTGATCAGAAAAGAATGTAATACAAAAATTCAAGTTTTTAGTAAGTTTGCTACAGAATCAGATTGAAGACCAGTTTAGTAGACTTACTACAGATAACAGAGTAATAGATGAAGTTGGTTTTGTGTTCCCAAAATTCACAATGTTATAAGTCAACCCATCGGTAATTGTTACAAAAAAAAGTGTTTTGTGTGGTCGAAAACTATAAAAAATATTAGAATTACCTGTCATGTGACTTGTAACACCAAAATCAGTCACCCATATATTAGAAGAGGAGATAAGATATTTTTTATCTGATTCAGTAATAGTAGAAAATTTATTTAAAGATTCCTGATATTAAGAGAATTTAGCATATTCGTTAGCGAAAATCATAATAGTTCTCTCAGAAGATGAGCTGGCAGTAATAACAGCAATATTAGCGGTCTGTTTCCTCTAATTGCAATTTTGTAATTTTTTACAGTACTGCTTTATATGCCTTTGTTCACAATAGTAATAACAGTCAATATTATCACTCATTT